ACAGTGAAGACAGTTAATAGAGCCCTGTGCCCTTAATTTGTAAAGTGTATGTCAGCTTTAGGCAGCTAGTGTCAAAATTGCCCTGCCCTGGCCCCTGAAGCCTGGTGGCTAGAGGTTGGAAAATATCGTAAACCTTTCTGTTGTCATCTCTTAATGTGAGAGGCACTTAGAGGTGTTTATCCAGGGTTTTGAGAACTCGAATCCCACCAGACTCACTTCAGAGATTAGAGGTCTCATGTGAATCCACCAGCCTAATGGACTCAGGAATGACCATCAGTGAGGGCTTCCATGCCACATTGCCCTGTGTGATTGCTCTGCAGGGTGCAGAGCTCTGTCTAATGTGCGCAGAGGCTGAGGGTAGAAGGGGAGGAGGTTGTGACCATCATACACACAGTCCAGACGCCCCCAGGGCCACTGTGTGCTGTGTCCACCTCCGTGAAACCCTTAAAGCTGTAGTTCCAGCATGGTCCCTGCTCCCAAACTTGGAGGAATTTGGGAGTAAGCTAAATGTTCTGTCTGTTCTCTAGAGCACACCTCTGTGTTCCATTTCCAACACACAAATTGGCCACATAGTTGGTTATCTCTGAAAGAAAGCAGGAAAAAGAGGGCGAGGGCAAAGTGAAGATTATTCAATCCTTGGTTGTGTTGCCATGGGGGTCTAGCTGGCTTCCCATGTGTTCTACAAGAAAACAGTGAGAGGTGGAAAGCCCATGAAGCAGAGGGTCAAAGGGAGAAGGCTGGAAATTGATTGTACACCAAAAAAATGCAAGTGGGTTTTCAAAAGTCAGAACTAACATCGTTTCTGAGATATTTTCTCCTACAAGTTATTTATGAACCCTAGTCAGTTGTAGATGACAGAACCTAAATCCAGCTAGGTGAGGGTTATTTCCCAAGAGCACAAATCCGGGGAGAGTCTGCCTGCTGACTCACAGTAGCATCCGGGGCAGCATCACTGGTCCTCATGCTGGGCATCTGAGTCATCTCCATGGAGTCTACTTTCATAACCACAGAGTCCATTTCCTCCTGCCCTCCCCAGTGCTACTGCCCCATGCCAGGGCTTTCTGACGTCTCTCCCGGACCACTGGCAACAGTTTCCAGTCTTGCCTCTAGCCAAGTCACTTCTCTATCATCCATCTCACCCACACACTTGAGCTCACGGAAACATTTTTATGAGAAACTTCTAGTGACTTTCTGGTACCCGATTTAGTAAGTATTTAAAAAAAAAAAAACATCCTTTTAGCATAGTATTTATGGGATGCTAATGCATCAGTAGAGTGTTCTTCACTCCAGGCCAAACCTCCCGAGTGCTCTGAGGGTCCCTGTAAGCCAGTTACTCCAAGTCTCTGCAAATATGTCTTTCCTGAATGGATCCGTTCAAAAGCTCCCCAACCCCAGAAGCCTTCCTCATTCCTAAAACTCTTCATTAGCTCTTTCTCACTGTGGTTCTTACATGTGAAGATCTCCATTGTCCTGACCTCTTGGGGGCAGTAACCTGATCTTTTATTAGTTTTCTGAGTCCCAGGGCTTTCTACAATAGGGATGTGTGGTAAGTACTCAGTGGATTCTTTTAGAAGGAATGGGTTCTTTCCACCAAAGGTTCTGCCTCAGGGTTTGCTCAAGCACCTCACAACAACTTTTCGGTCACTGGTGGGGCAGGGGCAGGCACACTGGGGGCCCTGTAAGATTATATCCCTTTGTGATGTCTCTTTGGTCATAATGCCCTACATAAGTCTTTTACAGAGATGTTTGTAGTGATGCTGTGGGAGAGTCTAGACCAATGTTGTGTACTTACTTCCCAACTTAAAGATAAACACAGAAGAGGCTTACATGATGAAGATATAAACAAGAAAGTTTACAGCTGTACAGCTGTGTTTAATAAATGTTCATCACACAGAAGTCCACAATTAAAAGTTTACAAGCTAAAAAGTCACAGTAACAGACCTGGAAAGATGGACGGACAGTTAGAGAATTTGGCGTTCTTCTGAGGATCCAGGGTTGGTCGCCAGCAACCACATGGTGGTAAACAATCATCTGAACTCCAGTTCAGATGTGCGTATGATACACAGACAAACATGTAAGCAAAATATGTTCACATATATAAAATACAAATATATAAAATACAAATAAAATCTCAAAGAACTGTAGTAAGCTAGTGTCAAGTGATTGTTCAAGAAGTGACTTTTTCATTCATTTCTTTATTTTTATAAATTGAACCATCCTGTGCACAGCTCTGGTACAGTCTTCAGCAATCTGCAGTCCTGCTCCAGGCTTGCCTAACTCACTGTCTTTCCCAGAGCAGCTTCCAGTCTTTTCTGTCTTTACCTCCTCTTTTCACTGTACTCTATTGCTTACTACTATGCCATAACTGCCTGCAGCATTGTGTGCTAGAGCATGCTGTTCTGGTTTGCAATCTAGGAACAATAAGACATGTCCAACAGTCCAAGCACATGGCCACCTATAGCAGCTAGTTTGTGTAAACCCAGTCTGATGGCCACACACAGATAGAACTCCCTAAGGATGCGCTTCTGCTGACGAGTGAGTCATGATCATGCTATTATTTAAAAACTGTAGTGGTTAGTCTCGGTTGTTAACAATTAAAGACACCCAGAAAATTTGTCAAGTACCTTCTGGGTGTGGTTGTGAGGCTATTTCTAGAGTCAACTTATATATCAGTCTTCAGACTGAATAGGTAGCACCCTCTCTGCTAGGAAGGAGGAGGAGAAGGAGGAGGAGAAGGAGAAGAAGAGGGCATGCATATTTGTTTGCATACTGGGCTCTTTGGGAGTGGTTCAGTATTTACTGCTGTTATCCTCAGACATCAGACATGCCGTAGAACATGGACTCATGTCAGTGATTTCAGAGGTTTCCTGACTATATCGTTGCTCTCTTGTTCGGAAACTTAGAGCTTCTTGAATTAAGAAGCTATTGGTTTCTGTGTGTCTTTAGTCTTTAGAAGGCCATTGTGGGATTAGCCAGGCTTTGTATCCTGTCTAATAAGTGCTTGCTTTTAGATAGCAATGTCTTTTGTGCCTGTGGTAGTCACTCCCCCTGGACATCATCTCACATGTTGAGCTCAGAATTCCATAGCCAAGGTAATGAATGGTAAACAGAATCTAACTGCTGAAGTGAGTTGACAGGAAAGTGGCATGAATTCCCTCCTTCACTGCAGTTGCTAAATAAATATTGAAAGTTTGAGGGAATCCTTCAAGATCCCCCCCCCTGATGTTTATGCATTTGTGCATAACCAAGCTTACAAACTGCAAATAAGCTGTCCATGCATATAGAACAAGGCTGGCCACAACCAGCCACAATGACCCGCCCTTTGTTGTAACTAAGTGCACACTGGGGATTTTTACGTTTTGTTTGGGATTTTTGAAATCATAGAGATATAAGATAAAAATTTGTCACTTAAAAATGTCATGAAGTTTTCTCTCGTTTTCTTTCTTTTTTATTAATTTTTTTATTTAATTTATTATTTTACATGTCGATCCCAGTTCCCCCTCCCTCCCTCCCTCCCTCCCTCACTTTTACCCTCTGTATTCCCAGCTACTCGGGAGGCTGAGACAGGAGGATCACTAGAGTCCAGGAGTTCTGGGCTGTAGTGTGCTAAGCCGATCGGGTGTCCGCACTAAGTTCGGGATCAATATGGTGACCCCTGGGAGCCGGGGACCAGGTTGCCTAAGGAGGTCATTTTCTTTCTGATTGAATGTTTTATGTGTAATACATATCAATTATAACTTTTACAAATCCCTGGAAAGTGTCAGAATTTGTGTTTATAATGCAAGAGCAGACCAGAAATTATTAGGGATGCTATCATTTTTAAAAGGACCTTGGGTGAAGGGCAAAATACACAGGCATTTTAGGTGCAGATTGGGCAGCATATAGGACTCTATCCTCATCCCAGCTATAGAAGGCACTATCGTCTTCCTCCAGCACACGGTGAAATGCAATTATAGCATGCCATCCATATGCCAGCTGCTATCGCATTGAGGATTATTGTGGTAAACTAAGCTAAAATTTTAAAAGGCTGTCACGGATTTTCTTCGTGTTCTGTTCTATCTGTGGGATGGGAGGTACAGGATAAAATAGGAAGGAGAGCATCATATTTAACAGTTGGGTTAACTTTTTTTTTTTTTAAGAGGTCTGGGTTGATGACTCAGTGGATAAAACACTTGCTACGCAAGTTCAGATCCTCAGAGCTCAGCGTAATGCCTGCTGGATGTGGCTGCCCGCCTGTAATTCCATGGAAAATAGAGGAAGCTCCTGAGCAAGATGACTTGCCTGGGTAGTCCTATCAGCCAGTTTTGGCTTCATTTGAGAGATTCCATCTCTACAGAGAAGATGGCGATGGATGGAGGAAGCAACCATATGCCTCCCCACGCATGCATGTGCACAACATGTTCACCCCACACATTGTGACCATGTATACATACACATAAACCTGTGCAAAAAGGAAGAGGTTTTGTAGATAATGGTGATAGGCTCTTGAATCCGGCTTTTAAATTGGAATTTCCCCTACACCACAATCTTGACAAAAATAAATAAAAAAAAAAACTTAGTATTAGGAGCCGCTTTTTACATGACTACTTTTTACACAACTACCTTGCTAGGTCAGGATGGAGATCTGAAGAATGCTTGCTTGAACCTAAGAAGTTGCCATCATGTTACTTCAGGTGGCTTGTTTCCTGAAGTCTGAAGAAACAATGTTTCCCCTACAGTAACGCTGTAGGGCTGCTTTCTGAAGGAGCCTGTCACCAAGTTCTTTCCAAGCGCTCCTGGAGGGCATGGCTCAGAGACCAGGCATCTACATTTGCATTTGTTGTTGACAACTGTGGGCTGTAGACCGCCCTCCCTTCATAGCCCCTGCTAAAAGGGACTTGTAATCCCCTTCTCACCCACTCTCTTACTCCCTAGGCCAAGAATGTTGACTCCTGCTCTCCGTCACCTGTCAGAATCCATCCTCCTGTCACTGGCTTATATGGACAAGGCAGTCCAGGGTCACGTGACCAAGGGTTGCTAAAAACAGCTCCATCACCCGCTCTGAATCAGGGCCTGCAACAATGTCCTCTATAGAGAGGAACGTAAAGGACACTTGATCTCACGGTCCTTGGAATTGTTTCCAGGAAACACTTGGAGGAGCCCTTCGGGAGCACCAGTCCCCTGGCAGCGCGCTCAGGGACGGCCAGGAAATGAGTGCTTCTTTGAATTACAAGTCTTTCTCCAAAGAGCAGCAGACCATGGATAACTTGGAAAAGCAACTGATCTGTCCCATCTGCCTGGAGATGTTCTCGAAGCCCGTCGTCATTCTCCCCTGCCAGCACAACCTGTGTAGGAAATGTGCCAGTGACGTCTTCCAGGTAGGTGTGTCTGGAATTTCGAGGGTGTGGAGTGTCCCTCCATCCTGTTTGAAATCAAAGCCAGTCCCCTTAGAGAGAGCTCTCCAAGCCCGTTTCCAGCGTGTTTGAATCATTTCCCCGGATTTGGTTGTCACCTTCTTCCTCGCTTCCCAATGCAGTTGTGTTTTCATTCCAAGAACCGTATCTGTCGTTGGTAAAAACACAACAGATGGTCTGACGATGTTTAAAATTTCAAAGGGGGCTACCGGTCAGAGTTTGAGTGTTGGAGCTTCTGGTTGAAACTTGGAGTTAGGAAAACACAAGGTGGAAGAATGCTTCTTACTGAAGACGGTGTACTGTGTAGCTTTGGCTGTGGATCCGGGAAGGCCCATGTTTCAGAACCACTTGCAGTGAGCCCTGAGGAGTCAATGTAGTGTATGGTGTCAGAGAGTGAAAATACTTTCCAAAAAGCTCCCTGTGCGGCATTACTCAATTCTCTCTCTCTCTCTCTCTCTCTCTCTCTCTCTCTCTCTCTCTCTCTCTCTCTCTCTCTCGCTTGGCAAGAACAGGCCTCTAACCCATACTTACCCACACGAGGAGGCACCACTGTGGCATCAGGGGGTCGATTCCGCTGTCCCTCCTGCAGACACGAGGTGGTGTTAGACAGACATGGGGTTTATGGGCTTCAGAGGAACCTGCTCGTGGAAAACATCATTGATATCTACAAACAGGAATCCACCAGGTAAGAGCCAGACCCACTGGATACTTTGGCTATTTGCTTTCAGCCTACTGATGCAGTGCAGGTCCGTTATTAGTCACAAGTTAATTGTTCCTTAAGAGGCTTTTCGGTGTCAGTCTTTCCTGATGAGATGGAGTTGTTTGTGGAGGGAGCTGGTGTGCATGCCTCTGTGCTATCAAAGGTAGTCATGTTGAAAGAGGTGTGATGCTACCCACGGCCTTGTATCACATTCACTTCAGACACATTGACACATGGCAGGTTCCTTGTAAGTCCAGATCCTATGCTATAGAAAAACTCCAGTACAAACATGCATATAAAGTAAGAAACATCACTGTTCAAAATACCCAGTTCCTGGGTGCCTTGCCTTAAAATGGTCTAAACAACAGTGATACGTATGATTTTAAAACACTCCGACATCATCATTTGTCCTAATACCAACTCTAATGGAATGTTCAAAGCAAGATATAATGCTTCATTTACAGACATGGAAGAGGAAATGCATTTCAGGCTGTTTCTCTACTAGTGCTTACTCTTAGCAGCCATTTGCTGATTGATTGGTGTGTCATATGCATCCATTCATTAAAACATTCTAAAAGGCTTCTTATGGTCACATCACATAAGTTATACAGCTCCTTTTCCTAGAGATGAAACTGCAGAGTTTACTCCTAGAAGGCATGGCGTGAAGTGCCCTAACTCAATGTGGCACACAGGTCATTTGAGTTCAAACGGTTAGTACCCATATGGAGATGGTGTAGAAATGGACCCTGTGATCCTTAGTATATGGGGCCTGTGTTTATGAAGCATCTGCAGGGCTGTGAATGCCTTGCCCTCTTTGCAGAAAGGTTGCTCCACCAATCTAACATGTAATTATTGTGATTATTGTGCCCACTAATTTCTGCTCAAGACTCAGAGCTAAATTAGATAGCGCCAGGCTAGAGATGGGATGGAGGATGGAAGTATTGCTGATGACATGTTGCAGCCACCTGTTTCGCTCGCTTCCAAATCTATTGACAAGAAGGAAAGTGTTACCCGAGTTACAGATCTGACTGCCTTGTATTTCACTGTGTTAATGAAATGAATACATCTGCAAAATGTTCCCACACCCCGGGCTCAGGGAACATTGCAGAAGAAAAGGTAGGAAGACTCTAAGAGCCAGCCGATCAGGGAGCTTGCTGGAAGACTGTGTTGGAAGCTACACCCGTAACTGCCCCCCACCATGATTGTCTAAGAGTGAGCTGAACAAGGATGGCGGTAGACATTGCCGAAGTGGGTGGAGAAGGACCCCCGAGGCTTCAAAACACAAAGAACTACAGGCAACTAAGCGATGTTGAGAGTGGGGAGAGGTCTTTCCCAGCAAAGAGCACAGAAATTGGTTACCCAATCCCAAATAGTCAGTCCCGAAAACATAGTAAGAGTAATCGAGCAGGTTTTATTTAGAAATATATATGCATATACATATGTGCATGTAATAACAATTTATAAAGAGCCCATGAATTTGAAAGAGAGAAAGGAGGGGTAGATAAAAGGCTTTGGAGGGAAGAAAGAGAAGGGAGACGTGGTGTAACTATATTATAACCTCAAAAATAAGAAAACGTTCAACCACACATTGTCTCCTTAAGAGATCACCATGGCAACTAATAACCAACCAATTATTAAAAGGCATTTATTTGACTATGGTTTCAGTGTCATATATAGTGCCATTCCAGAACAGGAGCTCCAAGTGCTAGCTCCTTAAACAGCACAAAGAAATCCACCACCGACAGGCTCTGGGTTCCAGTTAGTGCAGTTGCTTTTCTGTCTCACCACTCACCTAGTTGGAACTTCAAACATCAGCATAATAACATTTTCTATGACAGCTAGAGGACAGGAAACTTGTCGAAACTTGTCCAGTTAGTACAACTACAAGACGTATCCTTGCCGGGCGTTGGTGGCGCACACCTTTAATCCCAGCACTCGGGAGGCAGAGGCAGGAGGCTCTCTGTGAGTTCGAGGCCAGCCTGGTCTACAGAGCGAGTTCCAGGACAGCCTCCAAAGCCATAGCCTTGCCTTAACCATGAAGTCAGCCTGCTACTCCTTCAGAGGATGGGGAACAAATTCTACAAAAATAATGGGCTAAATTGCTACCACGAAGGCAAAAGCCAACAGGAATAGGGATAATTTTGTGATTATAAAATTCTCACATTGTTTCTTAAACTCAAGTCATTTTGGGGTGTTTTCTCATGGTAGTTGCTTTTTAAAAAAATGGCTTAGTCACATCAAACTAGGTGTTCCTGAAGTTGGGAAGTCATACCAGACCTGAGCCCTAAGCTTTGGGATATATTCAGCCACCTTAGAATAACCTTGGGTGTACAGAATAAGCTAATACCAGCTCTAGTCTTTGGCAGTGTCAACAGAAAGGAAAACACTGCTGTGATGGACTTTGAAGCATCACTCAACTCCGGCCTCTTACAGAACAGCTGGAGTGGTGACAAACCCTGGCCTTAGCTAGCGTTCTGCTTGGTGACACACTATTCACAGTTTGGGCTGGGCAAGATTAATATTATTATTGACTAATTTGTTGATATGGCTTTGTAGTGTGTGTTGGACACTGTTCAGATGCTTTGCCTGTGCCTCAGGTGGGATCCTTTGATGTTCCCAATGGTCCACTGTGGTGGGTTTTATTATCACAGTGCGCGCGCGAGCGTGCGTGTGATGTATGTGTGCGTGTTCATGCGTGGGCAGGTATATGTGCACGTGTGTGGGGGCCAGTGTTTAACCAGATGTCTTGCTCTGTTGTCCTCCACTTTGTTTTTTTAAGGCAGGATCTGTCACTGAAATGGGAGCACAGCTGGCTAGCAAGCAAGGGGTCCTCACTGTCACCAGGGTTAGAACCACAAGCACACACCACCACACTTTTGTTTGTTTTTAAGGATACTTAGAATCAAATTCAGGTCCTCACGCTTGTGTGGCAAGTACTTTACTGACTAAGACATTTGCCCAACCCTTTTAAAGTGCTCCGACGGGAATGAAATACATAGATACTGTAATTCTAAAAGAATCTTAAGCAGGCCTATAAGGCCTCTACTAAGAAGGGCTGTTCCTACCCTTCTGTCTCACACTCTTAACTGTCTCTCTCCAAATGCAATAACTTTTAATTCTCCTACCTACTTCCTAATTACCACCAGTGATAATCGTGTTACTGGTTTGTTCCCTCACAGAATTTTAGATTTATTTACTACTTTATTTGTGTACGCGAGTGTCTTGCCTGCATGCACATATGTGTATATCCATTTATGTGTACTGTGTGCCTGATGCCTGCGAAGGTCAGAAGAGGTTACGGAATCCCCTAGAACTGGAGTTATACATGGTTATGAGCCACCATGTGCATGCTGGAAATCAAACGCTGGTCCTCTGCAAGAGCAACATGTACTTTTAACCAGAGAGCCAACCTCCCACTCCATGTGTATGATGCTGTTATTGTTCTGTCTCCTGTTTTTGTTTTTCAGGGTTAGGGTTAGGGTGAGCTCTCTTGGTGCCGGGTTCTACTCTCTAATTGGGAATTCTTTTTACTCCCCATGGGTTGAATCCCTTGGACCCATGTCTTATCTGAAGGCTTACAGTGTTGCTTTTATGGACCACATTTCCATATGCAGTCTCTCTCTCTCTCTCTCTCTCTCTGTGTGTGTGTCTGTGTGTGTGTCTGTCTGTCTGTCTGTCTCTCTCTCTCTCTTAATTTTTTGAGACAGGGCTTATCTGTAGCTTTGGAGCCTGTCCTGGAACTAGCTCTTTAGACCAGGCTGGCCTCAAACTCACAGAGATCTGCCTGCCTCTGCCTCCCAAGCGCTGGGATTAAAGGCGTGCGCCACCAACGCCCGGCTCCATATGTAATCTCTTAAGATGTCCACTGAACCCTTTTTATAGCCTCCCTCACACCCCTACCTTCACAGTATTCTGCAGAGGTGCTACTAATGATTTTGGCCGCCGTTCTCCAAACTTCCTAGGACTCTGAGCTTCCTGTAGGCTTCTGTCCAGCAGTCCATCAGAAGTCACTCCCTTGTTGTCGAGATATTTCCAATTTTCAGCATTTGGTAAATCTTTTCTACTTGTTATCTTACCTTTTGTGTTTACTACTTTTATATGCTTTTTTTTATTTCCTTGATCTCTTTTGGGAGATTCCCACAGGAAACAAATAACTGCCTGCGGTCACTCTGCCACATTTAATTAGAAGACCCTTCATCTTATTCCTAGATGGGTGAAAGCTGAGGCCGAAGGCTCAGTAATATATTTAAGGCCACAGGCACATCAACACATGCAGAAGTTGAGCTGGAATTAAGCTTTCGGATCTCTTTAGCTACAGTGGGACTAACTGAACTTCCTCATCGGGACCCATTGCTTACTCCTCAGTAAACACTATGGTAGCCCAGCAACCTAGGAGACAGACAGACACTATGGTAGCCCCAGCAACCTAGGAGACAGACAGAACCAGCTATAGGTGCCTGCAGTAATGAACATCACTTTCCAGCAATCAGCACTGCACCCTGAACCACAACCGTGGGCTCAGCCACGCTCACCAAATACAAAGGGTTTACATCTCTATGCCAGACTTGTTTCAGCTCTGTTACTTGCCTGTTACTAAGTTACTAAATTACTCTGTTACTAAGTTGTCCACAGGATTTTCTTTTCTTCTATTTTTTTTAATATTTAGGGTTTTGTTCATTAGATTTTTTTTTTCATTTTATATATCGATCCCAGTTCCCTCTCCCTCTCTCCATCCGTCCCTCCCTCCCTCTTTCCCTCTCTCCCACCTTCCCATGCTCCCCTAACCCCTCCACATGTAAGGTGATGCCTTCCAGGAGGGGTCAACAAAATCTGTCAAGTCATTTGGAGTAGGGACTAGACCCTCCCTCCTGTCTCTAGGTTAAGGGAGTCTGCCTCCATGGGGAATGTGCTCCCAAAGTCCTTTTATACACCAGGGATACATCTCCACAGGATTTTCTTACGCACTTATTTAGAAGAGATTGGTGCCTCTAGGCCCATGTTTCTCCTAAACAAAGCAAAACCAAAACAACAGAAACTACTAATAAATAAAAGAAGCAATTTCCAATGTATTATGGAAAAAAATGAGTAAATTGAATCACAAACAAAAACAAAATATAACCTTTGGGCTGTTCCCACATGTTCAGTGTCCATGTTTCCTCCATTACCTGAGCTCTGGGACACAGCCTCTGCTTGTATCTCTGGACATGCGCAGGGAAGACAGGCTGCGTTAGCATGTCTGGGCTGCACTTTTTTTTTTTTTTCCAGCAGATATGTCCCAGGCTCCAGCAAAGCCCAAGTTAACACAGTGTGCAGACAGCTTCGAGCAGGCAACGGCCAACTTAGGACTCCTAGTCTCCAAAAGAGTCCCAACTGGCTCTGGATTCCCCACTTTCATTTTCATTTTATCACCCATTCAGAAGTTGTTCAGGAGCACTCCTGTGTGTGTGAAGAACTGCTCTAGGCACCAGGTATACAACAAAAATGTAGACCAGCCACGGTGGCTTACATTCTGCTGGAGGAGACAGGCCTGGGAAGGGGAGGTCTTCCCGCTATGGCCATGTTTCCTGTGAGTCCCAAACGGGTGAAGCAGGAGGCGGTAGACATTGTGAACGTATGTGGCGTCAGAACCTGACAGCGATTCCAAAGTCTTATCACTTATGAAACTTCCTTACAAGACCTCGAACTCTGCCACCCTGTATTTCCGCCAGTGTCCAGTACAGACATGACTTCTACCCAGCACAGTAGAGAGGAGCCACCACGCCCCCTGCCTTCTGCATCTGGCACTGCAGCTACATGATCCCACACACCAATACCAAGGTGTTAAAATATCTCCAAGCATGACTCACAGCAGAGAGTGCGTTTTACATCACACTACCTCTTTACACATCTGAATGATGTCTACATTACTCATTGTACATATGTAATCCACACATACATTTGAAAAAAAACTTTCACATGTCACTCACTACTTGTAGTTCCTACTGTCCATCACTTGCTAAATGGGTTCCTTGTCCATACACCCCTGGGATTTTTAAGAAGGGGATTTCATTGGGGGGGGTTAAAAAAGTAGTGGCTAGAGTCAGCTGTTCCTAAATAACTACATTTGAGAATATGAGAAACTTTTGAATTTGGTCTTATTTTCAAATATTTCTAACAGTCTGAGTCTTAACTAGTGGACGGAGTTTCTATTCCACCTGGTCCCACAGCCCTTAGTCCCAAATAAACACACAGAAGCTTATATTAATTATAAACTGTTTGGCCAATGGCTCAGGCTTCTTATTGGCTAGCTCTCTCTTAATTGTTAACCCATTTCTATTAATCTTAGTATCTCCACATGGTCCTGGCTTACCAGAGAATGCCTGGAATCCTACCTCTTCAATAGCTACATGGCATCTCCCTGGCAGCTCCTCTCTACCTTCCTCTCCCCAGCCTTCTAGTCGGGTAGCCCCACTGACGCCTAAATTTCCTGCCTGGCTACTGGCCAATCAGCGTTTTATTGAGCCAATATTCACAGCATACAGAAGGACTTCCCCCCACCATTAACTTTAAAACTTTTACATGTATTTATTTATGATGTATGGGGGGTAATGGTGTATGTTCATGGAGAAGACAACTTATAGAAGTCAGCTCTCTCTTTCCACCATGTAGGTCCTGGATTGAAGGTAGCAAATGCCCTTGCGTTGCTGGCCCCAGGCTCAATCTTTATATAGGACAAATCAAATATTCTGGGCTTTATATAGGAGGCTACGCCCACAGCAAACTGGTTCTGTGTCTCCAGGGTTCTATCATCTGACTTGTAGGTAGGAAAGAGGCTGGAGGGGCAGCACCGAGCAACCCCTCCAGCCTCAACTGGAGATGTAGCTCACCGGCAGCTTCCTCTCCACCCTAGTAAGGTTTCCAGAAACCTGTGGGCTTGTCTGTGGGCACAGAGCCAGAACGAGCTCCGAATGGCTCTCCAGACACCAGTGTTGAACTTTCAGGAATTCCACAGCGAAGTTTTTAAATCTTGAACTGATGCGAACGTACCATAAAATCTGACAAATGCTAACTGACGAATGCTAGACATGGGCGTTTGGGGTCCTGAGTCCCAGCTCAGGGCAGAGGGAGATTTGTCAGCACCAAATTGAACACAAAAGGCTCTGGGAGTCTTCTGGTTGGGGTGGGGGGTGGGGGTAGGGCAGAGTCAGGGCCAGTGTGTTTGCAAAGCTTGCCACCTCTCTTCTCTGGTTCGGTAAATATTGATACATACTTATCTTCCTATCTCCTCCCAGGCCAGAAAAAAAGTCCGAGCAGCCCATGTGTGAAGAGCATGAGGAGGAACGCATCAACATCTACTGTCTGAACTGCGAGGTGCCCACCTGCTCCCTGTGCAAAGTGTTTGGCGCGCATAAGGATTGCCAGGTGGCTCCGCTTACCCACGTGTTCCAGAGGCAGAAGGTAGGAGCTTCAATTTCCCTCCTCCGCAGCCCCTTCTAAGCAAAAATGAAGCAGCTCCGAGTAGCCAAAGAGGGGAGCCCAGCGAGAGGGAGGCCGTATGGCCCCCACAGGAAGCAGTCTTGCAGTTTGTCTCACGTTCGATTCTCAAGGTGGTGGAGTTGGCCAGAGAGGGAGAACGCTAAGGGCTGGGTCACTTTCTGTGACCTTTGGAGGCTGCTGAAGATATATAGTAGCGCTACGGGGCTAGTCAAGTGCCAGTTGCTAAAGATGACTCAGAGTTCACGTACAGACAAGAATTAGATGGCCTTCGCTTTCCCTTCCAGTCCCGGAATATTTTGTGTTGTTCATCAATGAACGGCTCTATTGCCCTCACCCACTCCTGGTGTGGGAGAGTCCTAACCATGGCATACAGTTACAGAGCAACTTGAAATTGGTGCCTTCTGCTGGTCTTCAAGTCGCCTGACTCTGAATGTTCCGTGCCCCTCACCCCAGGGGCCTCCTCATTCTGACTCAATGTAGTCTCCTCCCCAGCTCATCCACCCGGCATCCTGTAGCAGGAGCCCAGAACTCATGCTTCTGTGAAAATACAAGGGTTACACATGTCACCAGCTCAGTCTCTTCTCAGTTTCTGACATTTACAATCATTGATTCCAATTTTACCTCAAAGATCAGAGTCCATTTGGAAGCCAAACTCTTACAACACCGGTCACAACCAGTAACCATGATTTACATTTGTTGCTATTGTTTATTTTCAACGTTTTAAAAATTCAACTTAGATTCTTCCTCTGTCCATGCCCCCAAGGGCTAGGGTGGCAGAGCTGTGTGTAGAAGTAGCTTTGGCTACTTCCCTCAGAGGCATGGAAATCTATGGGATGGGCAGAGGGAGGGGAACTAGGGACCCCACACCTTTCCTCTTTGGTCAGAGTGGCTTCACATTTACTAATAAGTCTCCATGTTAACTTCCATGTGTAGACATGACTGCAGGTTTTTGTTGTTGTTTTTGTTTTTAGAGACAGGGTTTCACTGTGTAGCCCTGGCTGTCCTAGAACTCACTTTGTAGACCGGGCTGCCTTGAACTCACATAGATTCAACTATAGTTTTCAAACGCTTCATAACCAGGTTTGCCAGTTCTTGGCCTAGATCTCTCCTTTTAAATGGGAGAAAATTCAGGTTTAAATTGGCTGCCTGTCTTGGTCAATAACCTGAAGAAGGCCAAAGGGAAACTAGACCTAGGTCTTCCAAGTCCCTATTTGGCACTCCTTGGGGTTCAGCATCCCATCTGGGGGAGGGTAAATAGGAAGAGAAGCATACTTCTTGGGTTAAAAGAATACAGGAAAAATTTTTTTGATACTTTTTTAAATTTAAATTTGGAACAAGCTTGTTTTACATGTCAACCCCAGTTCCCTCTCCCTCTCCTCCTCCCCTGCCCCCCCCCACCAATCCCCAGCCCATCCCCTTTCTGCTCCCCAGGGAGGGTGAAGCCTTTCATGGGGGATCTTCAAAGTCTGTCATCCCATTTGAAGCAGGGCCCGGGCCCTCCCCCATGTGTCTACGCTGAAAGAATATCCCTCTGTGAAAGAACACAGGAATTTTAAAGTTATAATATCTCTGTTAAGTCCAGCCAGCATGTTACGGTTTGAAGTTTGTGTGACAGTCTAGTGAACATTTATATGTATCTGCACTGTACTAGCATAGTAGGATTGTAGTATATATACATACGGCCTATAGATAAATATTTACTGCATTTATTGCTCAAGTAAAATTGGTCCCGAGCTGTACTTGATAACTCATTTTGAGTTCCCAATGTCACACATTTGAGTGTGTCACATTGTCTCACTTATGAACAATATTTAGAATTCTCCGGTTTCAATATACTATTATTGGTGGCTTATAATTGGGTATTCTCCATATTTTTAGCAGAATCCAGGTCTCCAGCAATAATGTGATGAAAACCATGAAACCTTGTCCCAGACAATGCCAGAGTTCGCTTGTAATATCAACAGGTTCCCAGGTTTCCCATGACTAGCCTTGCCTCAGTCTTTAGATGGGTTAATCACATTTCCTGGATTTTGTATGAGGCCACACCCACACCTACCTCTTACAGCAACTTAATTCACACCTAAATTAACAATGACAGAACGTTCTGGCTTTCCTTGGCCTCATCCTCAGACCAGATTTTCTGGGACCAGAGGGGCTTTGTAGTGAGATATCCACCCAACCCGTACCTGTTGCACTGACCATGCAAATTCCCCTCCCAAGGATGCATCCAGATGCTCTCTGTCTCTGACCAGGAAATAGAGTGAGCTGGACTCTGGGGCCCGAGACCTAGTCCCCCCAGGTCACATCTGCATCTGTCCCCATGCCCCCAATGGGCGTGGTCAGTGCAACAGGTGTGGGCAGGGTGGATATCTCACTACAGGGCACAGGGCATCACTGAGCCACCCCACCAGCCTAAAAAGGAAATGTAGTCACCAGCAGCTTCTTCACCCACAATAAGAACATGTCTCAGGAGAACTCCAGCTTGTGGGCTGGTTTCCTCCTTAGGGATTATACCCCCTGGTGGATAATGCTGTGACCAGCCCATGATCATACATGGTTAGGAAACCCATAATATCATGAGTCCTGTTGTCCCTCATTAGTCGGAACTCAGTGATGGCATCGCTGTACTTGTGGGAACCAACGATCGAGTCCAGGGAGTGATCAGCCAGCTGGAGGATACCTGTAAAACTATTGAGGTAAGTCAGTGGGCTCACAGGGAAATCAGAACCAGTCCTGATACTCCTAGGGGCCAGTGGCTGTCTCAGGGATATGCTGGAAACCCCACCCCAATGTTCTGTTCTTCCCCTATAGAATGGCCTCCTTCCTGATAAATCTCTGAAACGCTTCCTGGCACTTAAGAGAACTTACCTCACAACTTGCTGAGGTGGATTTTTACCACAGTTGCTCAGGAAGTTATTGTGTGTGTGTGTGTGTGTGTGTGTGTGTTCTTCCTCAGTCAACTCCTTTGGAAAAATTGGCAACAAGACAAATCAGTTGTCAGCAACACAAGTGCACACTTGCTATTATTTAGCGAGACTTCTTGGTGGAAACTGGAACAGTCTTCAGAAATGCTGATGGTGCTCCAGGAAGTCTTGTGAGAGCATGACCTGCACACCTGTATTCTCATAGCAGTCGTTATGGGGCCACTGAGGAGGAGGAAGTTCTCCCCAGCTGTGGCTGCGGGCTGGGCTATTAACACTCAGCTTCCAGTACCGGGTTCTCATCACTGTGTGCTCGGTCTCTCTTACCCCTCATTTCCCAAAGGTAACAGTTCTAACATTGGACTGACTCTCTGTGAACACTCTCATACAATATGTAGCGATCTTTCATGCATGCGTCTTAGTGGCTGTTCTACTACTAGGAAGAGACACCATGACCAGAACAGCTTATAAAAGAAAGTGTTTAACTGGGTAGGGGCTTGCTTAAAGTTTCAGGGATTGAGTCCATGACCATAATCGTTAGGAGCATGGCAACAGACAGGTGTGATGCTACAGAAGCAGATGAGAGTCTACATCTTATCTACAAGATGGAAGCAGAGAGGAGGAGAGGAGGGAAGGAGAGAGGGAGGGAGGGAGGCAGGGAGGGAGGGAGGGACGGAGTAAACGCAGGAGGGAGGGAGGAAGAATAGGAGGGAGGGAAATTCTGGGCCTGCTATAGGCCTTTGAAACTTCAAAGCCTATCCCCAATAACTACTCCAACAAGGTTGCACCTCCTAATCCTTGCCAAAAACAGTTTCCCCAACTGGGGACCACACATTCAAATATTTGAGCATATGGAGTCGTTCTCATCCAAACCATCACAGTATGCATGCCTCTTAATTTTACAAATGCTATTGCCATTGCGTTGTAGCTTCTTTGTGTTTTGAACCAAACATTATGTTATTAAGATCCATCCATGTTACTATAAGCATGAAAGGGAACAATCTCCCTTATTCTGCAGAGCTTACAGGCACAAAGATGCTTACCTGGCATTACTTTCCCATTACCAAGGTGAAGTCTATTATTACAGATCTGAGGATGTTTTAGGGGATGGTTTCAAGGTTTTATTAGTTATCATTACCTCGTCTTAGATTTAGACATCATTAAAAATCGATTTCCTGTCTTCTCCACATTCATATCACTGATATTACCTTTGATACATGGAGCTTCACTTACTGAAGAGATACTTTCTCTTGGTGAGGAGCCTAAGAGATTCAGGAATGGGCAGAAATGGAAACTGTTCTCTCTCTACTTATTTACAATGAATCAGCACTGCGATGTGGGGCTACACTGAGTCTGGTGTCTATAAATAGCCCGTGGCTTCTGTTGAGTGAAACACTCTCTGACCACCTCCTGGGAATAAGGAGCCTCCCGAGAGATGTCTCTGTGGAGAGGGCTGGCTTCCTGTCTGGGATAAAGACATCAAAAGATGTGTGGAAAGTCCAGTGGACCACTGCAGTCTTGAGTCTGGCTGTGTTTAGGAAGGACAAGAGGTCATCTGTCACAGAGGCTAGCCAGGGCCTCAGCAGGAAGCGGCCATCTCTAGTTACACTTGATAACAAGCCAACAAAGTACAGTTTCAAGCTAATTCAGCAGAAAGGGTTTAGTCAGGGACAGTATGGAGAGCAGCTGAGGTCAGGATCATCACCCTTCTTACTGGTATTGTCACCACCCAACACGACACACTTCTGTAAGTATTTCCACGGAGTATGCTGTCACTCTTTCCAAGTCATTAAGATATTGGTTATCTTTAAAGTGTTCATCTTCACGCCAGGCTTGGTGATGCACACCTATAATCCCAGCTATTCAGGATGGTGAGGCAGGGGGTTGGAAGTTCTAGACTAGCCAACATGGAAATACTACGATAAAAATAAAAATTGGTTGAGGATGAAGGCTGGCTTTCTAGCACACAGAGGCTCTGAGTCCAAAACCCATTTCTTTTGAGGAAAAATTAATCTACTCATGTTCACATTTATTTCAGCCATTGGGCTTTTTTTTTTTTTAAAGTACAATGAGTACCATACATAGGGTCATGCATACTGTGTGGGACATACAGATTCATACCTGGCAGTTTTGAATGCCTACATTCATAACTGACCAGTACTTTCTTGGGAGGAAAATTCGAAGGGGCTAGGACCTATAAATAGCCATGGGGGCTTTTGTTTGTTGTTTATTTGTTTGTGACAGGTTATCACTCTGTAGCCCAGGCTGGCTTTTGAACTCGTGGTAATGGCCTTTCTCAGACTCCTGAATGCTGGGATTAGAGGCGTAAACCATCATATCAGGACTGGCAATTTCCAGTGCCTCCTTTACCACCTTTTTAAGTGGGTCCCCTATTTTTAATGGCTAGCAATACCAGGTGTGAACAAGCAGATGTGGTAACACCAGGTGTGAGCAAGCAGATGTGGTGTGAATAAGCATGGCCCTTTCTCATCAGTTTAGGTGTGGAGAAGCAGGGGCTGCCTCAGAGCCACACCGAGATCTTTAACTATAATTCCCATGCTCTGTTTTAAACGGCCTGGGATCAGGCAAGCATCCGCCTTGTTCACCTATGACCCAGAAAAGCCCTGATGCCAAGGCTATCAATAGCAAGCATTATTTAGATGGGACACATCACTTAATCCTCCTCCTCACAGAAAGGAATATCGCAATTCAACAGAGTTAGCATCAATCAGTTAGTTGAGAGACCCCCATCTCCCTGGCCAGTACTGAGTTGTTTTGATGAGCCAGGGCAGAGGCTGAGAGGGCAGGGCCTGAAGCCCAGCCTGTGCCTAATGGTCTGTTTCTTCCTTTACTAGACACACTCTGGCTGTGCTCGTGGGACTTCTCCAAGCGTTTATAACTGAACTCTTGAAAGTGAATGTGTGGACTCACCGAGCTCATTGCACTTAAGATGGCTCCCTGGTCAGGATTGCTAACTCGATGTCTGTTTTTCTGTTTCTTTTTTGGGTGGAGAGAGGAATGGGACTTTTGAAGTCCTGTATCTCGCATGCAGCTGCATTTCCACACAAGCACGCTGGAGGAATGTGGTGGAGACATGAATGGTTGGTAGGGCCACAGGTGCTCAGTGACAAGTGGCCAGGCTGAGGCTTTATCTTCAGGCTATTTTGGACACAGAGCTATGCTCCTTACTTGGTGAAAGCGGCAGTCATAATCACTCTAGAATTTTCCTGTCATGCCTATGGCACATAGCTAGACTGGCTCTGATGTTTTGTCTTGCTTCTGTAGAAGACACCCTGAAACTGGCTGGGAATGGAGAAGGGAATGCTGTAGCCTGGAAAGCGTCAGGAATATCTCCACATTTCTGAGTTTGAGAGTCTTCGAGCTGTCACTACTATACACATCATCTTTTTAAAAATTGTCCCAAGATAAAGTGCTTTCCGTATCTTTTTATGGAGGAGCAGATGAAGTAGATATTTGAAGCATACATTTAAGTATTTATTTCTCTGGGACAGGATAAAAATGGATACTTTTGAGTGGAGTCAAATATTTATACAAGCAAATCATATTGTAGCCATTTGATCATCTTCCAAACCGCTATTCCCCAAGAGTTTATTGGGTGCTTCGGCGTTGCCTTCACACAGTGCTGGGGGATAGATACATCCTAAACTAAATGATACTGTAGTTGTTTTTCCCTCTTAGAGAGATCAGCCACCCAGCTCCCAAGTAAATACATGGAGACTTATTCTCACTTATGAATGCCTGGCCTTAGCATGGTTTGTTTCTAGCTAGCTTTTATATCTTAGTGTCACATGTATTATTCATGTTGCCTGTAAGCTTTGGATGGACGGTACCATAGTAAGAGATGGCCTCACTGGAAAGCTACTGGTAGGCTTCAGTTCCCAACTATAGTAACAGTTCAGATTTTTCAGCTAAGGAACTAAAAATTAATGCAACTTTGGCAAGCCCAATAATGTCTTCATCTAAGAGGACCCTTTGTCTGATTACTTGGACACCTGACTGACACCACTCTGATTTTTGTCTCCTCCTTCCCCACCTTCATTCCTTACTCTGACCTCACCATGACTTTTGTCTCATGTCACTTCTAGGGAGTTTCCCCTGAGTCAATACTTTTGTTCCCTTGAATATCCTCTCTACACTAAATGCTCCACACTTACAATGAATCTCTAGTGGGTTTCCTTTATTCGGCCTCTTATATTACATCACACCATTGGCCCCCAGTTCCCTTCAGTAAACTGTGAGCTACTGAAGAACAGGAACTATGTTTACTTTGCTTTTGCATCCCTGGACTTGCAGGACAGAATAAAACATACGTAAGAGTTGTTTGCTGGATGAACCAGTGGGTAGATGGCAGCCATGTTATTGAAACAGTTCCAACTACATTATCTCCTGCATGCATTGCAGTTGGGTTAGAAAGGGAAAAGAACCTCCAGAATGGTGATGACGGTGTGTACATGTAACCCAGCATCTCAGAGATAGGCAAGAGAAACAGAAGTCTGAGGCCAGTTCATAGGGCATTGAAGGCCACCCCATGAAAAAGCTGAGCATGCCTGTAATACTAATACTTGGGGGACTGAATCAGGAGGATCACTACAAGACTGAAACCAGCCTGGGCTTCATAGAGAACTTCAGGATGGCCTGATCTTCAATGTGAGCCCTCAACTAGCAAAACAAAAGAAAATTAAAAACCAATCTCAAACAAGCAAGCAAACAAACAAACAAACAAAAAAAACCCAACCCATATACCAAGAAATAACTAGACAAGGGCTGAAGAGATGGTTTGGTAGTTAAGGGTACTGGTTTGTCTTACAAAAGACCTAGGTTCAATCACCAGCACCCACATGGTGGCTCAAAATCATCTGTTACTCTAGTCCCAAGGGATCCAGTCCTCTTCTGACTTCCATGGGCACAGGCAAAGCATTCATACACATACAATAAATCTAAAGGGATTGAGGGGTGTGGAATAAAGGCCTTTTTTGTGTATTTGTGGCTCATACTTTTACTCCATGGATGTGTGCAGATCCAGGGCCTATTCCCAATGATGGCTATGGTTTTAATAGTTGATAAACTTATGTAAACTTAAGAAAAAAGCAAGGCCTGGTAACAAAGGGAACAGAGTTTACTAAGCTGAAAGAGCACAAGACATGGTCATAGTGAGGTGAGAGGGAGGTCATAGTGAGGTCAGAGGTGTCAGACATAAATTACTTGAGTTCTCAGGGCAGGAGAGCTAAGTGAGGTAACTATGTCTCACAACCTGCTCTCAGTCCTGAAGCCCTGGGCCCAGAGACAGTCAGCTCTTAAGACCCTGGCACACATACCAAGATTACTAGAGCTGGAGAAAGCAAAGGCAAAGGCCTGGGCCAGCTAGAGAGTTCATTAGTTATGATTTAGTAGAGACTTCCGAGGCATCAGCCACACAATGCATGTGAGAGTCAGATTTGAGGGAGGGCTTTTCTTGCAGCGTCTGCCTCCCTTTAGTAGTGCTTGGTAAATAGATGCTCCTTCAGATGCAGAGACATGCCATAGGTGTCAACTATTATGGGATTTCAGAAGGTTAAGCAATGACAATCTGCCTTAGAGCGCCAGGGGGGTTCTATGTAAGAGGTGGTACTCCAACAAAGCCTTCGAGGTGATGTCACACTTGGTACTCCAACAAAGCCTTCGAGGTGACGTCACACTTGGTACTCAAACAAAGCCTTCGAGGTGACGTCACACTGTCACTGTGATGTAGGGAAGGACATTGCAGACTGAGGAAAGAGCAAGAGACAGGAAGGGAAGAGGTTGATTTTTGCTGAACTACAGGTTATGTGATAGTGGTAGGCAGAGTGATATAAACAAAAGCTAGACCCTGAGTGTGGAAAAAAGCCAGTTGCAAAGGTTAAGCATTATTGTTTACGCGTTGGATCCATACCAGAAAAAGCATGACTAGAAATGTAGTCTAAAAGAGAGAATATGGCTGCATCCAGTTGCTTGGTTTGGAGAAGGAAATCCCAAATGCAGAGGCCTGTGGGAAGCTCTAGTATCTACGTGCAAGAAGAGAAAGTGTGCACACATTAAGACATAGCACAGTCTTTCTTCACCTTCCCTCACCAAATATGGCCTGAAGTCTGCACAGTGTAAATAAAATATAGTATAAAACCTGTTCTGATTTCCATGAAATGCTCCAAAAGTTCAGGGCTGGAGAAATGGCTCAGCTGCCAAATTGCTTGCTCTGCAAGCAGGAAGACCTGGGTTCAAATCCTCACACAAAAAGAGTCTAACAGAGCAAAGGGACCTGTAATCCTAGCACTGAAGAGGCAGAGACACTGTCTAAAAAAAATATGGTAGACAGAAATTGAGAAAAAGCACAAAGCATTGATCTCTGGCTTCCACACACATGTGCACACACTTGCACATGTGTTGGCACATATATGTTCACACACTTACACTTGCATTGGACACATATGCCCACACACTTATACATGCATCAGCACACACATGGATACGAACATATAAACACAGAGAGATCATTGATTTATTTAGCCAATATGACTCTGTATTAATTGTCTACCCAAATATCAAACTGTTAAAAAGGAGACTTTAGTGTCTACCTACAGGGACAGCTGAAGGGAAAAGAAACTCCGTTATCTTCCGTAGGTAGATGCTCTTCTCTCCTAAGATGTCTAGATGATCTTTCCACTAGACTTTCTCACAAGCAGTTGCTAACATTGGCCAACCCAACTAACAGGAATGCTGCAGGAAGCAGAAACAAGACCTGTGTGAGAAGTTTGATTATCTCTATGGCATCCTGGAGGAGAGGAAGACCGAAATGACCCAAGCCATCACCCGAACACAAGAGGAGAAACTGGAGCATGTCAGAGCTCTTATCAGAAAGTATTCTGATCACCTGGAGAACGTTTCAAAGCTTGTGGAGTCGGGGATCCAGTTCATGGATGAGCCGGAAATGGCGGTGTTTTTGCAGGTAATGCTTTTTGGCAACAAGGACACAAGTCCAAAAGATCGATGCTGAGAATTAACTGTGACCACATTTTCAGTATTTTATTCCCATTTCATTTAAAAACCTATTTTATTAACTAAGAGCTCCGTCCATTTGGTATTGCTTAAATAGAGAGGGTGGCATTTATAAATCCAGCTATGAGATTCTGAGTCACAAAGAGAAGGATTAAATCTCACCAACTTCATGCAAAGAAGCCAAATAAGCTTATTGTTCTTGCTTTCACAGAATGCCAAGACCCTGTTACAAAAGTGAGTACTTTCTTTTTGATTGAACAGCACGTTTTTTTTTTTTTTTGTTTGTTTGTTTTTCTCATTTTTGCCCAAGGCTATCAGACTTTAAACAGTGACAGAAAATGACAAGTGTCTTTGATGCAGGATCTCGGAAGCATCCAAGGCATTTCAGATGGAGAACGTAGAGCAAGGTTATGAGATCATGAACCACTTCACCATCAACCTCAATAGAGAAGAAAAAATTATACGTGAAATTGATTTTTACAGAGGTGTGTTACGTATTTGACTCTGTTTTGAATTGCATTGTGGGAAAGCAGTTGAGTGAGAGGAATGGGGTGTGCAACATCCAACAGAACAGACATCTGTGATCGCAGGGATTGCAAACCATGTGACACTCAGCCTCACCACAGGGTCACATAGCTTTTGGCTGTTTATCTTTATAGCAATTTAATGTCATTATCAAGGTCTTGACTCTGGGTAATGAAATCCTTAATAACTGGCATAAATGGGGACAACTCAACTTCAGCTCTACTTGAGTATGACTCATAGCGGTGTAAAGGGAAAAGGTTAAAGATAAGTCAAAAAGAAACCACAGAAGACATCTGGGCTCAGTATGACAGCACATCAGCTTGATCAAACATCAGAGGATGAGATGGCGACAAGTCACATGGAAATAGGATAGGGTCCATGAGCTATAGCTGTGTCTTTCACTCTTGGCTTAGAATCCCCACTCCGATGAAACACTTCAAAGGGAGACAGTACCTCTGGAGGTGATAACCAATGCTGCCTGCCTTGACTCATTGTAGATATAAAAGAGATACAAAAACAGCAGTGGGCTAGACCACAAGCCACGCCATGATCGCACCAGCTCCACAGACACAAGTTTAGAGACACACCTTCATAACGAAGGATTATGTTTTGTACAAGAGCTTGCAGACATGGTGGCTATGACAGAAATATGAGCAGGCTCTGTGAGTGAGGTGTATGGGAGGCAGGGGGCAACTTTGTACTGGGGATGCAAGCAAGTCAATGACTCCACATTTGTCCTGCCATGGTGAACATGAGAAGCACAACGTTTCAGGTGGCCCGCCTGAACTATTGCCAAGTGTGCTAGTTACTAACTGTTTCCATGGCTACCACGGCAGTTATGAAAAGTTTAAAAAGATCTTCTCTCACTAGAAGAGGAAGATGAAGAGGAAGCAGGAGAAATAGAAGAAGAAGGAGAAGGAGCAGATGCAGCAGAAGGAGAAGAGGTAGAAAGTGTTCAAATAGAGTCATCAGGGGAAGAAGAAAGCCCGGAAAAAGCCTCAGAGCCCTCTCAGCTCTCCTCAGAACTCCAGGATGCCCCTGGACCAGTCCTTGTGTCCTCTCCAGAACCGCCTTCATCCGTGGCACCTGCTGCAGATGTCATGGTGACACAGGTAAGCATTCCCTCCTCCCTCCCTGCCAAACTACCTGGTTGCCAAATACTCTAAACAACTTATTCTTCTATAAGACAGGACAGCCACAGTGCCAGGGAGAAATGCCCTCTAGGTGATTCAACAGGGTCATGGCCGTTATAGCTGCTTTGCAAGACTTGCCATTTTTATACCAATAATGCTCTCAGATCTGAGGCAATCTCTGGGGGAGAGAGAGATAAAGAGAGAGACACACACAGAGAGATACTGTCTGTAAAATAAAAGTTGCTCATAGGAAAGCAATCTCTGTTAAGAATGCCTGTGTGTGTGTGTGTGTGTGTGTGTGTGTGTGTGTAATAAGAGCTGCTCATGGGAAATATCTGCCCTTTGTGGCATAGTCAATGAAAACAGATTACATTGCAGAAATTATACAAGGTGAGAAATGAAGATAATTCTACTTCAGCACATTGAACTTCCTGTACAGAATAGAAGAAAACAGAAACCACAAGAATTCACATAGCTTACCCTGAAACACAACTTCATCTTTCCTTCTGTGGACAAGCAAATAAAGCTTGGTTTTCCATTTGGTTGTTGTTTGAAAAAAAAAAAATAGTGTGGTTAAAGGTATTCTAGGAAATTAGTGTCTGATCCACTTACCTAGGCTTCTAGAAGGCCACCATTCAGTTTGGGGGCTTTGCGTTAACTTCCAGGACATGTCAGTGCACAGAATCCCTGTTGCTGAGTGTGGTAGGAAAGGCAGGCTCATCATAGAGGGGCCCTGGTTCTTCTTTTGTGGGTTGAGATTACTGACAGAGCCAAAACCCACAGAGAACCCAGATATGGAATTGCATTCTGGGTTCTGTCTCCTTGGGAATCCAGGATAAAAGATAAAACACTTTTTATTCCCCAGAACCTTGAACTTGTGAGCATTCCAGTGACAATTGGCATTGAGAAAAGGACAGACATCAATGAGGGTTGGGTTTGATGACTTAGGCTTTTAAAAATCATTTTTGGGGACCCATATATAATGCCAGAATTAATTTTGATCAATAACTTGCTGTGTGTGGTATTTGATAAGCAACTTTTCACTCCGGGCTTCTGCTCTCCCCCATCGGGGCTAGTGGGAAGCAAGCACAGAAGCACATCGGTGCCCATCAGAGGCACAGCGCTATGGCAAACATTCAGCCCCAGCATCCCCAGAGAGCTCAGGGTGTTCAAACCCAAAGGGACATGACACCAACTGCTTTTTCTTCTTCTTCTTCTTTTTTACTTGTGACCCCATGTTCTGATTAAGGGGGAGGTGGTGCCCATTGGCTCTCAGCAGACCACACAGTCTGAAACTCCAGGCCCTTCAGCAACGGAAACCACGGATCCCTTGTTTTACCCTAGTTGGTATAAAGGCCAAAACCGGAAAACCATCTCCAACCCACCTTGCACTCCTGGGAGTGAAGGTCTGGGACTAATAGGGCCTCCTGGTGCTGAGGATTCCAGTGTGCAGTCAGCAGGAGTGGCAGAAGCCGCAGCCAATGAGCAGGCAGCAGTGAGTGGTAAGGAATCTAGTTCACCTGCAGCTACCTCTCAGGTTAGTGTTGAAGCTCTTCTGTGTGAATGCTTTCCCACACCTGCTACAATCCTAAGGAGCAGAGGGAAGCCACTGCCTGGGGGAAATGCCACAATATCTCATCCTCTAATGCTGGCTTCATTTAGGCATCCTACCCAAGAATAAACAAAGAACCAAACAATCTGAACTGCCATTGCCCATGGTGACCTCATCCCAGGGAATGGGGTACAAGCAATTGTAACTCTCAGGCATGCTGTGCAAAGCTCTTTTATCTGCAGTAGCTGGCTGGCTGGTGTCTCTGGTTCTTTGTGAAATTCACTTGCCCTTCCTCAGCCTGTAGGATCTCCTCTTGGGCTTCCAAAGACTAATCACCTGCTTTGGAGTCATTCTTAGCAATCACCAATATTTGAGTTGGTTTAAATTTGCTCTGTAAAATAATCTGGGATTTCAGGAATGTGCTTGCAGTGACTAGATAGTCTTGGCTTGATTCTGTACTTCCTAAACTTGTGTTCGTGGGGGCAGGAAAACTCAGTTTCCCCCATTTTTATAGGGGCTCTTGATAACTTAAAAATTGATAATATAGCTTGACTTTTATTTTTATAAAGAAAATTTGAAGTTCAGTTCTTCCTTCTATCACTTAGTTAGATGTTTGCATGTCCCCAAAAGCTGATAGAACACATCTATAGTTTCTTTCTGAGGAAGAATGTCAATCACCCCAGCTTTGGGATTCCTAAATAAGGTGTGAGGCTAATAAGCTGTCATTCAGATCTGTGGGTCTATACTCTTGGGTCATCAGGTGACAGTGGATAGCAAACAGCATGATTTTTTTTTTATTGTATCTGCTCAAGTGGATACCAGTCTCTCCAGGTAACAAAAGGACATCCTTTTGGAGAGTTATGAGTACCATGCTTTTATACCTGATCTTTATTCACAGTTATAAAATGACAAAAGTAAATGTTTATAAACTAACCTGTTCAGAGCCACTTTTTGGTTAAAAAAAAAAACAAACCAATGAGATGGACAAATTATTGTAGAAACTTAATGGAGATGTCTATACTTGAGGAGAAACAGTTATTTTCTTTAGCAACAGTGCAGCTTCCCTACAAGGAACACGTAGTAGGTCTCCCACTCAAGATGAAAAGTTTGTCTAAATGATATTGAAGAAATGATTTGTGATGATGCCAGTGAAGATTTCTTCTTGTTTCCTCACAGGAGTTAGCAATCTGCCTAGCACTTCTGGCTTTTCTTATTCTCCACTACATCTGGAGTCAGATACAGTGTTTGATATTTGCTTTAATGGGTAGGAAATGTTTTCTTTTCCATTTACTAACATCTCATGTATTTTCTCCCATAGTGTTCCTCTTCTCTAGGCCCAGAGAATGCATTTCCCACAAGCCTTGAAGTTCAGTCCTCTAAAACTATGTTCACTCAGGGCCACAAGCTCCCTTCTACAGGTGCCCATGCACCTCTCAAAGGAAACTAATTCTATTATCTATTCCTGCATGGAGAGCCTTGACCCAGAACAGTGAGCAATTATTCAGTAAGCCAGGAGGCGTGAACCATCCAAGTGGCCATTAGTATGCCTGCACAGGTGTGCTCAGCTTTGCAAGGACTCTTACAGCAGAGGAAGACATAGCAAAGAATCTATCCAGGAGCATGCAGGGCTGCTGTAGGCTTGAGAGCATTTACCCAGAGAAGCCTAGGAGGGGCCTCTGTTGTCAGGAATGCTGTCCAGAGCAGTCTCTGCACCACACTATGACTTGGTTCTCTTTGCATCTTCATTATCTTCAGGGTCTTCCCATGAAGAGGAGGTCTCTGAGACAAAGATGCTACAAGTGTAGCAGCCATTAGAAACATTGAATAACAGCCAGGCTTTGATGGGCACATAGTAACCACAAGAATCTACATCAAAGAAAAGCCACTATTTTGTTCAATCATCCCTGCCTTCTGTTTCATGTTACATTTCTCATAGTCAAGCTGTGAGGTTTGCTTTGGGATGGACATCATACCTGTCGAATAATCTTTTGAGAGTTACCCATTTACTTAGCAATATTGGAAGTGCATGAACTCAAGTGCATGAGTTTTGAGTGAAAGGTGCTACTGGCCTAAGCCCTTGCTCCCATCCCTTAGCCCCAAAGCGGTCCAGGATCCCTGTTGCTAAAAGACTTCAGCTATTTTGGCTTCCCAACCTCCCGTGATAGGCCTCTTTTCTGTCTAATTAGCCATCTGCTCTGCAGTGGCTGCAGGATTTCTATGTGTACAGCTGTGTCTAGAACTGTGTGAGCAGAACCCTCACCCCCTTGTGTCTAACTGTCAGCTGGGAACTTTTGCACACTCAAACATCCTGAGCATGCATAGAATATTTTCAGCTGCCTGACTGACACCTCTGTCCACATTGTTTGTGGTAAAAATGAAATCACGGGAAATGGGCTCAGGGACAAAAATAGGGAGAGAAAACAACATGGTTTTTGGAAGCAGGGTCTAATTGTGGATCTGAATAACCATCTTAAGAGTTCCGTTTGCCTTCCAAGAATGTGGGTTTGGAACCTTGTCTCCATATAGCCTTACAATATCCTCTGAGGCTGTAAGGGGAGTGTCATGCTTCATGGCTGCCATTCACCAAGCTCATGTCCCTGCATGCTGACATTCATCTGCCTGCTTGGTAGGATGGGAATGAGGCAGGAGGGGCAGGATTTGATGTAGTGGGTTGTTACTTGTTGTTGAAAAGCACCTTGATTGTGTACTTTTGTGTTTGAGAAAAGGCCTTTTCACACCGCAAAGCTAACCTGATCATATTGAATACCATTCTTGAACCCCTGAAATATCATATAAAAAGATCTATGAAGACCTCACAATGGTAGAAAATTCCTGGCCTCAGTGAATTTTTTTATGTCCGGTGCAACTTCAACATTCAGAGCCCAAGCTACCAGATAGCTATTTGTCCAGTGTGCGTTTAGCATGTTGTAATGTTTCCCTGAACTACTATCCTTCCCTTGATCACCTTGTATGTGATACCAGCCTGTTCCAATGCACTGATGCTCACTAGGAAACAGTTCCAGGTCAGGTCAGGGGGTGGCATTGCCTTAGGAACTGCAAATCCTTTAGGATGGTCGATCCTCAGGTGTTTCCCACATATCCTTTAACACATAAAACCTACCCTTGACCATAATCTGGGCATGAAAAACAGACATCGGCCTTCCTCTGTACTGGGGAATGAAGGTGCTACATTCTAATGGAACAAAGGTGGATTGCCACCATCCTCATCCTATGAAAATAATGGTTTTCAAAATCCGGATTTATCCCAGTTGTCAGTTTATCTCTTAAACGCTGCTAGTTGAACCTTCTCATAACCTTATTCCCGCCCCACCCCCTCAAAATACCCAACACCAAAACAATAACAACAAAAACTGTGCAGAGACCTAGTGTGTCCAGGATGCCAGAGGCAGATTGTCCCTGTGTCTACAACCCTTCTGGATCATATTTATTATAGGCCTAGCAGATGCAAAGAGAATTTGGTAGATATAACATTTGATGCTTTTCATGTATTTAATTTTTTTTGAAAACTGTTTGAGTATTTTTAGCGTTTTATGCAATATGTTCACCACTCCCTCAGCTCTTCCCCAATACCCCAGCTCACACCCCATACCCTACACACCCACCTTTGTGCACCCCCCCCCATTTTATAAATTCTTTATGACCAACTTGTGCTGCCCAACTTGTGCTCTTGGATGTGTGGTCTTCTGCTGGAGAGTGGTCAACTTAACAGGACCTATACTTTTAGGGAACACACACACTTTTTTCCTAGCAGCCAGCATTGCCAACAGCTCTACAATCTTAGGTGGGATTGTGCGCCCAAGTCCTTTGTCCCTGCCGGGATTTGGCCTGGCTTGAGTTTGCACAGTTTTGTGTATGCCATCACAGCCACCATGCGTTTCTATGTGAAGCTGCCCTGCTGTGTCCTGAAGAGAATGTTTCCTTGTAGTCATCCAATGCCTCAGACTTTTATAGTCTTCCGGGACCCTGTTCCTAAACATTTAGCATGTGAGATTTGAGATTAAGTTTCAGCATATGAACTTTGGGGACCACATCAGAATCGTAACAACTGCCCTCAGTCCTGTCAAACATCTTATATGTGGTCAACCCATCACACATTTTTGCCTTTGTGCAGCCATTGCCAGGTCTGACACACTTCTACTCACCACCCTTGTGACAAGTTGCCAGAAGTGCACGCATGCACGCACACCCGGAGTATTAACATGGGGCTGTCCCCATCCTTGTCCTCTCCAAGAGAGCATTTTATTGTGAATATGTGTGGCAATTGAACTTTTTTGAGAGAGGGTCTCCCCATAGTCCTGGTTGGCCTGTCACAGTGATCTCCTGCTTGTGCTTCCCAGGGGCTGGGGTTAAAGACGTTTACCGCCACACCTCTCTTGGCAAAGAGATTTTCACAGAGGTGGCGGCAGCAGCCACAGACGTTGCCTCTGTCCCTCTTCCTCCCTTCTCAGTGTCACGTGACGGTCTCCCATGGAAGAATCTGTCCACAGCACTTAACTGGAGCTGTATGGGGAACAGAAGTTTCCAGAAAAATGTCTGTCTGTGATGGATTAACTCAGCAGCTGCTTTGGCTGATACTTGAGCTGGACACAGCAGGTGCTTCAAGGTCAGAGGACCCCCCCTTCCACTACTGCATATGTGTGTGCTCACACACACACACACACTCACACACACACACACACACACACACACACACACACACACGAGCAGGAGTCAAGTATGAAGAAACTTCTGCTTTTCACGTCAGCTGTCTCACTAAAAGATGAAGCTACACTGACAAGAGATGAAGCTTTACCGTATTACAGCTATTTGCTGTTCCCAGAATAGACTGTCCACTTTTCCATTCTCCAGGCCTGAGAATAGATGCTCGAATCATGTATAAATTCTGCCGGGCTCCTGGGAATGGAAAGATCAATGTGACTAGGTAAAGGACTTCCCTTCTAGCTACATCTGACATGGTATTCGGT